AACTTTTTAATCATAATTTATTAGTTGCCTTTTCCTCACACATGCATCAATTTTCTCCTTCCTCCAATGCACGAAATCTTATCCACATCGCAGTAGAGACTTAGATAGGCTCGGTGGGGAGGAGAGGGAAGGGGGAGACGTAGACTGTGCATCCTAGCATCAACTGTAATCACAACGTATACAATGACAGCATTTACTTGATAACTTCGATTCTATGTGAATACGCGATAGTGGTAGTTTAGCTGATTTCTTGGTGTGGCATCCGCTGTTTTAGAGAGAATCTTTTTGAAATCCTCTTTGCATGAAATACGGCAGTTAGACTTTCATAAAAGTGTTAATGGTACTAATATTAGAGGGGCTGCTTACTATACTTTTCCCCATGTAGACTAAAATACTAATCGGCTTCCCGTTTACCTATCGGTGAATTCTGAATCACTTATAATGTTGCTTGTTCGAGGCAACTTGCTTCCCTCGTGCGTATAGGAAAGGAAGAGTACATGCTGAGTTTCTTCTATTCATTTATATTAGTTCTCTCGGCCTTAACTGTCTGAGCCGATGTAACGACCTGATAATTTGTATTGAATGCGTTCGAGACTGTCCGAGGCTCTCCATAGCTTGCCTTCATGAACACTGCTTTGGGCTGAAGCGTAAACTTCTTGAAAGTCAAAAGCTAGTCGGACCCGGTTGACTCAAACTGAACGAAATCTCGTGTAGCAAGACCGTGAACACAAAGTGACTGTCATCCAAGGGCTCTGTCACATGACCATCTAACTTTTCCGAATAGGCCATTCTATTACTTCGACATTTATAGATTAAGCTGCAAATTGGTCGAAGTCCAGAGTTATGCTAAAAACCCCCATAGGAGGTGTCAGTTATCCTTCCGGTTACTGTAGCATGCGCAAGCATGAACTGGAAAGCAAGCAGAACTGGGAAAAAAATCGACCGAAACTAATACCTACCACCCCGATTGTCACTTATCCCTGACGGTGAACTTTAGTAAGAACCTGACAGCTCAAATCAGCCACATTTTCGGTTGTCTTAATGATTCACCTTGAGAACAACGCCCCAATTCGGAAATATTTCGTGTGGTCTAGCGTATGCCTTATGTCTGCAGCTTACGCAGGATTGACCAAAAGTGAGGCAGTGGGCATTGTCAAAACCTCTATTTCTTTTTCAATTTTAGAGGGTCAACACGGAATTGTAAATGTTGTAGTGTCTACTATTTATTTCGTAACCTTCAT